CTATTGGTACGACCAAAAAAAAAAAACAGTTTGTGGTTCCTCTGCTGTTTGTTTACCGCCTGCCAACCACGCGTTCAGCCACCAGCCATTTCGCCACTTCGCTGTTATGTTACCAGTTTAACAGATTATTTTTTTTTTTAGTATGAGAAGTTAAACCGTTAAACACAAGGAAATGTGGTCATAAGACTCCAATCAACATCTACCAGTAGTAGGTCACTTAGAATTATATTAAGAAATTCTGGGTGAAATTTGGGCTTTTCTTCTTGCCATTTAAAACAGAATTTCATGAAAATATTTAACTGTAGCAAAAAGTAAACTGGTACGCCTTGGCTTAAGGATATAGGTACACATTTTATTGTTTACAGATACAGTCTCTACTTGCAGGGGCAAGTAGAGACTAAGAGGTTGTCGGCAAAGAGGCAAAATGACCCAAAGCCCTCAAGTTCTGTTGTTCATGGCAGGCAAACGTTCTGCTTAATGGTACGACAGTAAACCGATCCCTGACTGAACAGACTGATGGTTCTCCGTTGGCAAGAACGGAATAGTTTGATAAGGAAACCATACGACAAGGTGATTTGTGGGAACTCCTGATCAAATGGAAAAGTTTCAAAGGTCCCTCCATTTCTAAGGCTGCTGGTTGAGTCTGTAAGGGAAATGATGAGGATCATGTGACCAGTGGAGGTTTCCAAAGAGGCCTGCTAGCAGGCTGACTTTATTTTAAGTTTTATTTCCCTGTGGCCAATATAAACATCTTAATGTTGATTTTATGCTGATATTAGCCGTCAGCTGTTAGAGATTGGGACAAAGTTTTATCATATTACTGAATATAAAGCACAATGTCATTTTATTAACCTTTAGTTTAATATTTTTAAACTAAATCCTGACTATGAGATCCAGGTCATGTGATCCTCATCGCGGTCTTCAAAGTTTTTTGTTTTTTTTTCCCCCCGTCCTTCATGCCGTTTTGTTCTGGATTGGAAAATTTGTCTCGCCCGCTCCAGTTGTTGGGTTTTTCTTCTCATTCACTTCTGACAGTTTCTAAGAAGAAATGAGACCAAAAAGTCCAAGAAGAACCACAACTGGAACGGAAAGCAGCACCGATCACATCTCCATTATAAACGTCGTGTTTTTAGTTTGTGGCTCCTCTTTTCCCGACCCAGACTGAAGCCATTCAAGCGTCTGTATTTCTGATCCTCGTTACTGTTTTGGTACTCGGCTGACCTTGTGTGAGTGTGATTGTGTATATTTATTATTATTATTAATATTACTATGGTTATTATTATTGTGTTGTTGTGGAGCTGTTTTTTCTGACTTGCATGATCCAATTTGTTTGGTGTTTTTCTTTGAGTCTGTAAAACTAAAACCTGGTAAACTGCACTAAGGATTAAAAGTTCACATCAAGTGAATTGACTCGAGAGATTTAATCTTCTTTCACTTCATTTTCACCAAATGCACTCCAGTCTGCCTTATGCAGTTATGGTAAACAGAAATTACCTCCTGAATTAGTTTTTTTGGCATTTGATGTCTAAATTAGCAGGTCTTTAAGTAGTTCTGTTATTTGATCATTATTGAACATTTCATTAAGATTAAGCTAAGTTTCAGAGTACGCTCTAAAAATTCTTAATTTTGATTTTAAAAATCTACGTAAAATCTTTAAATGTAAAGTCTTCTGTATTTCGTCTCCCATGTTTTATAGATTCCCTGCCTCTGCTGGTGATGTGTTGCAAAAAAGCTTCGTGTTATAACATTTCTAAGCAAATGAAACATGAAAAAAAGTATTTTCTCAAAATGCTGCTCATAACAAAGATGAATTTGAAGAAGATTTATGCCTCTGTGGAGAAGGTAGAAACCAGCAGAGACCAAGAAGACAATCGATTAAAAAAAGTGTTTCAACAAAATAAGAAGCTAAAGCTTCGCTAACTTCACATGAATATAATGCTTTTATATTTTAAAATTAATTTGTGAGAAGTATAAACAATCACTTCTCAGTGTTACAGAGGGGCATTCAAGTGACAACTTATTAAAGCCATTGTAGAAAGAAAAAAATCTAACATCTAAGAACAAACGTGGAAATTTCTGTTTTAAAAGTCTAAACTGTTCAACCCTTAAAACTCAGAAATTTCTAAGATTTTTCTAGAAATTTTTTAGATTAATCTCAAAATTTGAATTTATTTTTTTTTGCAAACTTTTGAAACTAACAAAAAAAAATGTTGATTTTCCTAGCAAATTTAAACTTTTGAAGCTTGAAAATATCTTGGATTAATTTCAAAATTTGAGATTTTTTCTTGCAACTTTTTGACTTTGTCAAACAAGATGGCCGCCCTGGACGTTCTGAAATCACTCGCTATGGAAACAGCAGGAGTGCAAAAAAAAATGCAGATTTTCCAAAGATTAAATCTTCAAAAAACTGAATAAATAAAACTGGTATATCGCCCAGCCCTAATTGTAAGAAGATTGTTTGTTGTGGAAGAAAATTGTTTAATCCATTACATGAAAAAGATTTTAACATAAGATGTAGAAAAAGAGCACCTTTTGTTCATTTCTTGTACCTTTTTTGTGCTCGAGTCACTTCTTGTCTGAACAAACAAGACATTTCAAAGGGAAATATGGTTTAAATGATTTGCAAATCATTGCATTCTGTATTTATTTACATTTTGTACAGCGTCCCAATTTTTTAAAACAAGGCTGTAGCAGGCATAGCAGCAGAACGTTAAACCTTACAGGACTGACGATGTTTTAGAGAACCTTCATGGATCTAAAGTCACGTTATGTAATCTCTGAAAAATGAGTCGCATGTCAGGGATATTTTACAAAAATCATAAATGATGAAACTATTTCCAGTTTTCAGGCGACATTCCCAGGGTGTCTGTTTGTTTTCTCTTTTTTTCCTGCTGAAGTTTCTGACGTTTATTTTTTTTTTCTTCTGATCTTTTTGTTGTTCCATGCAAAAAACACACCGCAGTAGACCTCCATGTTCCTGCATCTCCATGGAAACAGAGGCCGCCTGTCACATGACACGGAGGAGCTGCTGTGATTGGCTGGCAGCTGCGAGTCTTTTGGCCTCTCTTTTTCAAAGCATCTTTTGCCCAACCGGTCCCGCCCTCTCCTTGGCGAGGGGTGGAGCCTCCCTCCGCCCCGATGACATCATCATGGCACTGGTACGTCATCGTTGTGACATCATCATGCAGCATGCAGGAGCACAGGAGGGTCACTGCACCCAGCGACCGTTTGTCCCCTCCGGCTCGCCTCGAGGCCCGTTTGATGCAACGACACAGTCGGTCCCGTCTCCTGATGCTACGATTTGCCGCCTTCGGTCTCCTTATTCGTTAGCGGCGCCAACGCCGGGTCCACCAATGAGGTGGCGGGAAACAGTTTGAACCAGCCAATCACCATGTTGGACAGGTCCAAGTCGTCCAGTAGGATCTGAGCAGCTCCCATGAAGGATTTATGATCCATGCGTCCGTAGTCGCCCCAGACGATGATCTGCAGCGACAGACATTTTCAGTTTTAAAGTGAATTTTATATATATATATATATATATATATATATATATATATATATATATGTAAAGCGCATACTTTGCAACCAAAATATACAAAATTTACTTTATAAAACACTATTACTGCCTTTTATTGTGGAAAATGTTTGCATATATTGCATGAAAACGGCTTTGTTTTTATACCAGAGTCAGACCATCCAGGTGTTGTTTGTGAGCATAAAGTTTGTTTTAAAGCAGATTTTGCATTTTGTAGGTACAAACTGTTCCGACGTCTGTAGATGTTTAACCACGCTCACCAAACATTTTATCCAGGCTTTTGATCACAATAACTAGCTGTTGGACTGACTTGAAAAGCTGTATTGTAGCTTAGCTAACGGATGTAGCGTTAGGTTGATGCTACGGATGGCTAAATGTCCTCAGAATGATGTGTTGACTTGATTATTACTATATTGCAGTTTAGCCCTCAAGAGTAAAATAGTGACTGATTACGGATAGAAAAGTGAGACTTTCAGCTGCTTCCTTTCACAGCTACTGTGTTGCATATCTCCTTAATATAAATTACTCTTCATACAAAGATATTATAAACTGCTGGTTGACACCAAAGTGTGTCAGAGAAAGAATGCAGGTCAGAATTGGAATAGATATTTATACCAAACTATAACAGTCCAATGTGGTGAATTACAGGTAGTCTTCTTTGTACAGAGCTTTTAAAAGTCCATGTAGCGTTCTCGTCTTTTAGGTCTCCAACATTTCTCCTAACCTCCTTTTTCTGATAAATCTCAAACTTTTGAACTCACATTCGAGGAGGACATTTTGCTTTCATTAGGTTTCTTATTAGCTGACAGAAAACATCGTCACTATTCTGCAGGTTGCAACTTCATTCTCAGTTCAAAAAGGCTTTATTTATTTATGCCACATGTCTTAACATCAAATGACATAAAAAGTGCACATATTTGTAAGCACAATAAAATTTTACCTTTGACCCGTTTTCCTACTTTTTAAACAACAAAAAGTAGTAAAAAAAACGTTAATAGATTGTTTTTCATCAATAATCCTCAGATTAGATCAATATTGTCCATCACAGAGTTGTGAGGTTGATTTTTCTGCATGTCTGAGTTAAAAATAACATATTTTACATTATTTTTAGTTCTGTTTGTTTGAAGGGGAGATCTGTGTGTCACTTTTATATTCCCTGACTTTACCTGCAGCACTTTCCCTTCAGGATTTTCTTCAAACTGGAGCTGTTGCTGGTAAAGCGGGTCCAGAGTTTTTCTTGCCAGACGCGTTCGTCTCTTCAGCACACATTTCCCGTTATCCATTAAATACACTTTCACATAAGGAGCTGCAACACAAGCAAACAGAATCATGAGTCAGTCGGTAAAAACACACAAAAAGCTCATCTGCAGGAAGAATAGCTGCATTTCTGTCCTTTGTTAATAACATAATTTATTACATACACATGACATTTCTTCTCAGTTTTGGTTGTAGATGATTGTAGAAGACTGAAAAACTGTATGTGGATAAATTATAGATTCTTATATATATTAGGTAATAAAGGGGAACAGCATGTTGACGTGTGTCTGTACATCCTGTACTGTTTAATTAACATTCTCTGGATAAATGCTACATCCCACCACCAGGGGGAGCTGCAGGCTCTCCTTTAATATCAGCATCACTCCAGTCAGAGCCTTATAATTCAATATTACCCATTGAAAAAATCCCTTTTATTATTTACAGTTTTATTAAAGTTTCAAACAAGTCATGAATTATTCAGCATGGATGGACAGAACCTCATCTATTATATGTGGATTTTATTTGATAAGACCATCAAAAAGTAGCGGATACACTGCAAAAACAACATTTTACCAAACATTTGTGTCTAGTTTCAAGTGCAAATATCTTAAAACACTTGAAATAAGAGAAAACTAACTTAAAGTAACTTTTCAGCAAGAATTAGGAGCTTGTTTTAACTCAATATTTTTGTAATATTGATTAAAAAAAACTGTGCTAGTTCCACTGGCAGATTGTTTCACTTAAAAAACAAAATTTTCACAAATTATAAGTGAAAACAATTTCCTAATGAAACAAGCATTACAGGCAATATTTATAAATTATTTACTTAAAACAAGCTCCTGTGTCTTGCTGATAAAGTACTTATAAGTTATTACACTTGAAATAAAACAAAACTAAGATATTTGCACTAGAAACTAGACAAAAACATACTTGGTATGATTTTATTTTTACAGTGTACGGGGCTCATTTGAAAATTTTTCAATAGCTGGCATACGTTGTATTTTTTCATGCTATGTAACATTTGCGGCTCTAATCAAGTTTTATTTAGCTGGACTGAGCAAAAATGGCTCTTTAGATTATAAAAGTCACAAACCCTTGGACTAGGCCATTCTAAGTTCTGGCTATGTTTAGATCTAAAGCATCCCACTGTAATTCTGTCTGCATGTTTCATGTTGTTGTCTCAGTTCCAGCCTAGTTTATCAGCAGCACTGGTTTAATTTTTTAAATGTACAACATTATAAAATGTTTGTTTCGTCACCTGGAGTGTTTTTGTTGCCTTGTTTACCCACAAGCCCCCGGGCCCGGATCACCTCCACGTCCAGCCGCTCCTTCCTGTAGACCATCCCGATCTGGATGTCCCCTGATCAACACACAGCCGCCATCAAGCCTCTTTAATTGAGCTTCTAGACACAGACAGACACTTCCTGCAGATATTTTTATCCTTACAGCGCCTCATCTATGGAGGGCAAGGAGTGACAAAATTAAATAAATAAATATACCATAAAATATATGCATGTACATATCCATTTTATTAATTAAATGTATAATAAAATAATTAAAAACATCCTTAAATAATTAAATATACCAATAAAACTATATCATGAAATTATGAAATATGCAATTCAATAATGAAATATCCTATAAATATTTTTTAAACAATGAATTTAAATAGTAAAAAATTATGTTTTAAAGAAAAACTTTTCTTTAAAAACATTAAATTACATTTATATATTTCATGTTATATTTATTTATTATTTACTTAATTTTGTCACTGCTGGCCCTCCATACTCATCAACTAAGAGAGATAGATCCTCTCAGAAACTAGAAAGAATGTGAAAACAGAATAAATACTGCGACATGTAAGCAAATAATTATTCTATAGTTTTAGTCACAGAATAAACATTCTCGGCACTAAAAATAACCAAGAATTTTAATGAAATTATTTTAAATAAAATTATTTCAATCAACACGTAACTTTAAATCCACCCTTTCCAAACTAATAAATGAGTAATTGAAAAAAAAGTAAAACTTTTTAAGGTAAAAAGTGGAAATTCTGATATAAATAACTAAGTATAGATGTGAATGACTGCATGAGGATGATGTATGATTGAATGAATAAATTCTGTTTAAATATTGATCACTGATACCCATGGGGGGCGTGGCCAGCGTCTGGCGTCCAGCCAGTTGGCCGGGACCCAATCCCTCCAGGAAGCCGGTGAACTGCTTATCTGACGCCAACTTCACTCCTGGAAATATCAGACTGACGAGACAAACAGGCAGACATATTAATATTAGTAGACATTAACAGTTCTCTCATTACAAATATGTGAAAAACGTATTTGATATTCTGCAAGTAACCTGTAGTGTCATGCAAAAAAATGCGAAATACAAAAATTTTAATATTTTGGCTGGAATTCAAATCATTGTAGTGCAAAACTTTATTAAAAAAAACAGATTTTTTTTACTGATGTGTTTCAAGTAAGCTGATTTATTTACGTAATTGAAATTTTATGGCCAAACGGAAAACACAGAAAATACAAACCTGTCCAATCAGAGAAATATCCAGAATTGGGTGGTAACTGGTTACATTTACATGAGTAACTTTTTTTTTTTTTTTGTTTACCTTTAAGAGTATTTTTGCCACGCTGTATTTTTACTTTTACTTGAAGTATTTCTGCTCTTACTTGGTCTGTCTGATGATATAATTTTTAAATATTGAATGATTGATAATCANTGAATCAGTAGCCTTTTAACAACATATTTTTTTACTTTTACTTGAGTAAAAATATGTTGAAGTAGTGCTACTCTTGAGTGTAATTTTTGGGATTCTTTACCACCTTTGGATATATATACCATCTACTCCAGTAGATGGCAGTGATGCACATTAAACTTTTATTGTCAACCACCATAAAAAAAAGAAGCCCAACCAGCATTGTGACACTCAGTGGAAATTATGTATAAAATATGTTAAAATGGAGGGTGGTAGTGTGAATTTTTTTAAAGAGAAAGTGACGAGAACAAAACAGAAGGAAACAGAAACGAGTGTTGAACTGAAAAGTGCGTACGCTCCGGGTTTTGGGTCCTCTGCGTCCGGATCTCGACTCGGCTGTCGGGTGAATCGAGATTTAAACTCGATGGCCAAACCGGTTTCTACGCTCCTCTGGACAGGAAGTCTTATCGCTTTCTTCTTCTTCTCCTCCTCTGAGAGAAACAAACGAAAGAGATTGAAGACAAATTTGAATGAGTGTTTGGTGGAAACTGATCAACAGTTAGGCTGTAGATCTCCTGCAGGAGCTGATGGAAACACTAAAAACTTGTTCTGGACTGCATGAAGTGAGCTAACATAAAGCATCTGGAATGTATGGCAGCTTATTGCAGATAGGAAGATAAAAAAAGGAAATGTCTGCCAAAAAAACTGAGCTTAATCTAAAAAAAAATATATATATATATATATATATATATATATATATATATATATATATTTTTAGAAAAACATGGCCACTTCAAAAATGTTAAATTTTACTAAGTATTTTTGGTCTAGTATTTAGTGCAAATCTCTTAGTACACTTGAAATATGGCAACACTAATTTACAACAAACTTTCAGAAAGACATCGGAGTTTGTTCTAAGTCAATAACTCCTTAACCTTGATGAAGAAATATTGGTTTCATTGGCAGATTATTTCACTTTTAACATGGGAAAAATATTCTAGATGGAATAATATGCCAGTGGAACTAGAACTGGTTGCTAGGTAACGGGCTGGGCTTGGGTGGGGTTGCTAGGTAACAGTTTTAGTGCCCCTTGCCAGTGGAACTAGAACTCTTTCATCATCAGTATTAAGCAATTATCTACTTAAAACAAGCCTTTATAACTTGCTGAAAAGTTACTTATGTTAGATTTGTCCTACTCCAAGTTTACTCTTGCTCATTGTTCATGGGAAAGAGTAAAATAAATCACAATATTTTTGATTTTCTTCAAATGGAAATAGAGGTTGGCTTGAAGCCTAAGATTTAAAATTACCGTAGTAGAAGTATTATGTTCTTCGAAGAAGAAATTAGTTACAACAACATTTAATTTCCTATTGAGATCAATAAAGTATTTTTGAATCAAATTGAATTGTTATATCAGGTAAAAGAGAATCTATTACATAAATAATTATAAAAAGCAAAAAGGTTCTTAAATGTTCTCCTGTTTCCACTAGGATCTGACTTCCTGTTTGTGAGCTTTGACCGAACTGGGACCGACCCTCTGGGTTGAGCTGGGACGCGCTCTGACTCTTCTTTCCCAGTCCCACCATTCCCATCATCCTCGCTCCGAAGCTGGAGCGCCGCTTCTTGTCGTCATCGTCGTCGTCGTTTCTTCCTAACGAGCAAATCTCTCCTCCGACGCTGGAGGACTTGGTGAGAGGAGCACCAGAGGTAGATGCAGCTCTGAAATAAAGCAAAAAATATTTCTATCGGTTAAAAAAAAAGGTCAAATAAACCAGAAGACTAACAGGACTGAGAGGGATAAAAACTAAATAAATAAAAACACCAGAGGCTGGGCGACATGAACACTGCTGAGGGCAACATGCACTGCAAAATCACAAAATCTTACCAAGTATTTTTGGTCTAGTTTCTAGTGCAAATATCTGAGTACACTTTAAATAAGACAAAACTAACCTATAAGTGACTTTTCACTAAAATGTCGGAGCTTTTTTAAGTAAATGATTTTAAAGGTACCAGTTTCTCTTGTAACAGGACATTTTCCCATATTATAAGTGAAGTAATTTACATGTAGAACTAGAACTTTTTCAGAAATATTAAGTAATTATTTACTTAAACTGACTTTTAAGTTAATGTTGTCTTAGTTCAAATGTACTAAAAATTTGCACTAGAAACTGAACCAAAACTATTTGGTAAAGTTTTGTGTTTTTGAAGTGTAAACTGCACATCATTCTTACTTTTCAGACTGCGCTTCCTCCAGCCCTTCCTCCATTGATTCACTCTTATGGAGCTGAGACTCGCCCTCTGCTGCTCCCTCTACTTCCTGTGCCCCCTCTGAGCTGCCGCCCAAATCCCCTGATTGGTCCTCCACAGAATCCGCCTTACTGCTTCGGCCAATCAGAGGACAGGATGGCAGCATGCAAATGGAGAAACATGCAAAAAGATGGCAGACGAAAACATTCACATGCAAACATCGTCAAAAAATAAAAAACATGCAAAAAATAAATAAAGCGAAACTTAACACATAAAGCAGGCAGAAGAAAAAGAAAAGACGACAGATCTGAGACGGACGTTTAGACGTTCCATCGATCAGGGCTGCAACTAACGATTAATTTTTAACTTGTTACTCTGATTATTAATCAGTTAATCACGTTTTGAAAAAATTGGTAAATTCTGCAAATTTTTCATCCATTTAAGCTTTTTTATATACAATATTAGAAATGCATAAGGAAACGCAAATAAACAAATAGTTTAATTAATTTTGTAAATGACGACAAAAACTTTCTATTGTTGAAATTGTAACATGGCATTCCTTTAGTGCACGCATTCTATCTATTTATCTATCTACTGCTCAGAGTCTGTTGTTCTGTCAGCAATTGGCCTTTTTTGAGTCTGCGTACTCCAGTTAACGATTAGCCTATTATTAAATTAATTGACAATTATTTCAAAAATCGATTAATCACGACTAATCACAATTAATACAATTAATTGTTTCTGTCCTATATTAACTTAATGTATGAGAGAGTAAAGCAAATTGAAACTTGTCCACATTTTGTCACGTTCCAACACAAACACAACCTTTAATGTATTTTCTCACGATTTTAGTGACAGATTTTATCAGAATTAGCTTTACTGGCTAAATTTAAAAAATTTTAAACTTTAGATTCGTCTGACCAAAACTGCTGGTGACAAACTGCAAACAAGATTTCTTCTGGATTTTTTCTTGCAGTTCTAGCTCACAGGTCAAAATTTAAAAGGTTACATTTAATTTAAAAGACTCAGAGCAAAAGAGGCTAGCTGCAAATTCGCATCAACATGTTCATATTTAATTTGTAAAAGAATGTGAGAGCCATAGCCTAATAAAGAGCACTGATCGTTTGTGTTGTAAGATGACAAAAAGAGGCAAACTTAATGAAAATGTTAATACTGCGAGGCTGGTTCCTGGCTTCTCACCTGATCTTGAGGGCGGTTCTGGTTTCAGATGCGTTGGACATGGCGGACACATCGCTGACGTCACTGTCTGACGATTTAAAGGACAGGCTGTCCCTCATCTGAGGACAGAAGTCGAGCAAACAGGCGAGTAAGGCCGTGACATCACAAGCAGTTGGTTTGGATTGGTGTGGATTTTACCTTAGTGGGGTCCTTCATCACACCTGCAGAGACACAAGAGGAGGATCAGTTTAAAATTAAAATTAAAATGTGGCACAAAATGTTAACATGGGATCTTATTGTGAAGCATCAAAGTTTAATTTAAAACAGTAATGTTCAGGTTTGTCTCATGTTAACACAAAGCTGTTTTTGAATTCAGAATATGCTCTTTTGCAGTGGTGGAAACACTTCCTCTAGTGTGCTAATAGTGCAGCTAATCTTTAGCTTAGCGTTTTTGCTAGCTTTGAAAACTATTGGCACATTTAGCTTCCCCTAATCTCCTCTAAAGTGCTTTTTTAAACTTTTACTTGAATATATTAAGTTTTAGTTATTGACTATCAGGATATTTTTGAGTAGTTAGATGTTTTCATTCATGCTGTTATTTTGAAGTGAGCGATGATCATGTATATAGCATTTTTATTTTCTCTCATGTTTATTCTGTACCCAGAATGCATTGCTGTTCCACAGGAAAATGTATAAAATGCACTTTCTGACCGAAACCTCTCTGTGGTCAATCAGCAACAGAGTTGGCAAAACTCAGCAACTATGAAACTGTAAATATTGAGTGAAAGGTTGATAGGTGTTCAAAAACAAATTTGAAGCTGCATGTTGTTATGTTGTGTCATTGACACATGGTGGGGTGTCAACACGGTTGAAATTAGCAGTTTAGCATTAGCTTCTACTAAATACCATGTTGTAGCACATTAGAGCTAATACATCTAATGTTTATGATTAGTGTTGTAGGGTTAGCCCAGCAACCTTTTTAGTTAGCGGTGCTCATTACTCCTCTTATGTTTCTACCACAGAAAACAGGACTAAATTATCAGGGGTCAAACATTTTCAAAAACGAAGTAAAGAGGATGATTACTTTCAGTTTTTCATTCTATCTTTTAGACCAGAGATGAAAACCAAGCTTGAGTCAAGCACTAGAAAACTCTCTGAAGCAGCTCAAATCTAAACTACAAGCAGAAAGAAGCAGCGTCTCTTTACCTTGTCCACTCACTGGCAATACGTCTCCTTCAAACGACAACAATCAATGAACAACAAACAAACTGATCAGGGTAAAACATGTATGAAATGAGAGAGCTGGGCTCGGCATTATCAGTTTCACCAATTAACACTCTAAAAACCACACTAGACACCAGTTACTATAAACACCTTTTCGGTGTACCTCAGAGCTCAGCTCTTGGTCCCATTTTATTGTCATAAAAATTGTATTTTGTGTTGTGTTTAGCTACAAGCCACTAATACAACAAGGAAACAATAATTCAAAAGGGTAATACTCAGAGTGTTTTTATGACAATAATGGTAACAAGCAAATTATGGCTGACGGGTCTTTACCTGGAAGGTTACTAACAATTACAGGAATACCAACTAAAGCAAACCGTGTCCTCTCCAGACTGCAGTGACTACGATCTAAACACTAGAGGGTGCTGCCGTACCATTGGGTGTTTTCCTCTGCTGGTCCTCCCATGTGACCTCTGCATCATGCAGAAAGAGACAGGTGATTGGTCAAACCCACAGTGACATCATTCAGGTGACCCCCTCTTTGTCGTCAACAACAACCGAAAGCTTCAGTTTACGAGCTCAGGGATCACCTGAACTCATCATCAGACCACCCTGAGTGGACTTGCCTTTTCTGGTGCCGCCAGGTGTAGCTGAGCGTCTCTCTGGGTCTGACACATGCAGACATGAGGTGATGATGTAACAAACATGGACACATGAATAAATGAAGCATTAAATAAATGAACATCATTGATGTGAGGAATGTGGAACATTCTAGCATTAAACTCCTGAATTGACCCTTTGCATGACGTCACGCTTTTCAGAAAATAGCCTCGCTCCGCCATGATGGATGTCAAAACAACCTGTCTGCATGACAGGGCCTGTAAATTTAATCAAAAACAGGCAGTCGGTCCCTAAATATCACTTGTATCTAGTTGATTTCACTGTAAAAATGATCATAAAGTGCTAAAGACAAGAAGCTAACCAAATTTGTCATTTTGTTGCACGTCTTTTTTGCAGTAAACACTTTTACTGATGATTAATGTTCATATACTTACTAATCTTCATATATAAGATTAGTAAGATACCGTTGTCTGCAGACGGTAGCTAAGGTTCGCAGACTCTTTCTTAGTAAGCCTGGAGAGAATGCCACATCATCATGTAGCCAATCATGTTTGAGAAAAACTAGTAAGCATCTCAGGGTTTCCCCTAGAAAACCTGCTAAGCTAAGTGGTAGAGGTGCTAGGACAGTCTGTGTTTTTGTGTAGAAGTTACAAAAATTCGGAGGAGCACAAGCAGACATCGAAATTTAAAATAATAGCATGTGAAGCCAACCTGCAGGTTCAGGTACGGCTCTACCGGTTCGCACCCATCAACTATAAATCCATCTTTATGCTCACAGACACTGGTGTATAACACAATCTATGCTTAGCCTGATGAGGAGCAAATAAAGCCTGGTGGCCCGCCAGGCTTATAATACACTGGGGGAAACACTCCAACTGGATGTTTGTATGCTTTCTTACGCTCCAGGGGAAGAGTTGTTTATGACATTGGTATAAACCACATGGCTGGAATTCAGGCAAAGTCGACGATTTGATTAAATATGAGGGAGAAGTTATGGGTCGGTCTCTTAGCTAGCTATGTCCAATTTTTGTAAATACTATGAGCCCCAACTAGACGTGCTACTTCCACAGACAAATCAGCTTGACTTGAGCAAGTAAAAGGAAGGCTACAAAAACAATCGCAGTCGCTCCTTTCAATACTCCCATCGTCTGTCATGGCGCCGCAACACAATTAGGTGATATAGACGCAAAGGGTCAATGTCAGGCTACCAGCCCACAGAAATACACACCTGGAGTCTGAGGGGGTGGGGCTGGTGAGGGAGCTGGTGAAGGGGCCGGGGATGGAGTTGGGGGTAAAGTGGATTCAGGAGGTGGCTGTGGTTGTACGACAGGAGGAGGGGGCAGAACAGGAGCAGGAGGCGGGGCCGGGGTAGGTGCAGGTGTTGGAACAGAAACGGGGGCAGCTATAGGTGTTGGTGTGACTGTGGGTGCAGCGGGAGGTACAGGTGCGGGTGGAGGACCAGGGGTGGGTGCAGGCACAGGTGTGCGTACAGGTGGGGGAATGGGTGCAGGTGTAGGCACAGGTGCGTGTACAGGTGGGGGAACGGGTGCAGATGTAGGCACAGGTGCGCGTACAGGTGGGGGAACAGGTGGAGGGTGAATAGGGGTGGATGGAGGTGGATGAGCTGGTGGTCCCTGAATTCGTATCATTGGAGGAGGTTGGTGATTGACTAGAGGAGCGGCGTGTTTCTGTATGGGGGGCAGGACTTCATGAGGGGGAGTGGGTGGAGCTGTGGCTGTTGGTGCTCCTGCAGGTGGAGTAGCCAAAACTGATGAACAGCAGTTCAGTTCAAAGAAAGAGGAAACAAGAAGATGATCAGAAACAATGAGAGGATTAATGACAGCATGACCAGCTTCAGAAGCTAACCAGTCACATGACCAATCACATCACTACTGTAGTTAAAACACAGAGAGGAGACATCGAGTTCAGCAGGTAGCAGAAGAAGAAAATGACTCCAGATCCTTTCCACTGAATTCACACAACTTTGAGAATCAACTTCATTGATTAAAGGTGACCTATTATGCTTCTTTGAACAGGTCAGGATAGATCTGAGGCCTACGCAAAACATGTCCGTTAGTGTTTTTGCACAAAATCATTCTTAGATAATGAAAGTTTAGTCTGCTCAGTTGTGCCCATTTTGAGCTGAGGGGAAATGGCTGCAAACAGATGTGCGATTACACAACTGTACATCTTTGAAAAGCAGAAGTGGAGCCTCCTGCACAACCAACAAGAATGCAGTAAGTGGTGCCTGGATGGTAAGTCAACAGCAGCAGTCACTGTACAGCCCATACAGCCTTACTAACAGCCGACCAAACGTAATGAAGCTCTGCTTGGGTTGCTAGGTAACGGGCGGAACTCCGCTGAGGTTGCTAGGTAACAGCGCAGTGCCTGTGGAATGTAATTTAACCTGAAGGTTTTTGAAACCAAGCACCAAAAACCTTGAACTTATTGCCAAAAAATGGCTGGATGGTTTTTGTTTTTACTCTTGAGCTGTTTTTAGAAGCAGTTGAGACCCAAATGGAAGTACAAGTGCAAAATATGAATTTTGCGTAATATATCATCTTTAGGAAGTTTTTGGCTGCTAGTTACCACCCAACAGATCCACCAGTTGAACACTCAGACATTCAATGCAGGTAAACCCCTGACCCTCCTGCATTGCAACGCAGCTAGGACTTCCCACAAAGCCCTAATCAACCCAATGACGTCCACGAGTGTTTTCACACACACACATCTTAATCTGTTCCATCTAATCGTCACTTTTATCCTCCATTGATCAACAGCTACAGCTATGGCACAACGCTCTTCTTAAAGACCCAACACATACAGAGAATGTCTCTATTTCTAACCAGGTGGACGACACTCAGGTGCTGAAGTCACTACCTGTCTGAACACAGTCAAAAGGTTCTCCATCTGAAAGAAACAACTCAGCGTTAGGCTGCTAAACTCCACTCAGCAGGATCAGCTGCAGAGAAAACACTCATTTTATAAAAGGTGAATCAATATGCTGCTGCAGGACTTTAACATTTTTATTTATATTTGATGATTGCTGATGTTTAATAAGTTGTAAAACGTTCAAAGTACATTTTTTTTGTGCTTTTTTTTGTCCAGGTCATTCATGTAAATGAAATTTTAAAATTAATTTACAGATCAAATGGCCAAATAGGTGGAAACAAGTACATTAAGTATTTCTATATGTATTCAATTAGCACCAGAAATAAGGAGAAATCAGTTAAAATGGCTCATTTAGAAGCAGTAAAGAAAACAATTAACTTTATCTTTGTTGCACCAACAGATTTATTTAACCTCAAACTCTGTGGTTTACTTTTTGTTTCCTACTGTAGCATGTTGAGGGCCAATTGAATGTGATTTTACATCTCTGGATATAAATTTGATTGTTTTATAAAGTGTCTCAAGATGCATTAACTGATGCTGAATAAATTAACCAAATTAAAATTAAAAGTAGATAAATATCTTGAATGCAGATAATATTGATTATTATTAGCTGATTGGCAATAAGATCAGCTGTTCTCCAGTAAACGTACTTCGGTCCAGAGGTCCTTTTGGCGGGACAACAGGAAGCTGGCGTCCGCGGCGAAGGGAGACTGCCGTTCCGGTGGGACTCGTCATGTTGGATCCGACGCGAGCGTTAGCCCTGTTTTAAAAAAATAAAGTAAATAAATAAGGCAATGGAGTATCCAGAAAATAAACTACAAACAAGAAATAAGGAAGAAAGGTCAAATGTCAATGTCTGATTAGGAACCATGCATTTGATTAGTAAATTAAAGACAACACCAATAATTAAAATTAGGGCTGCAGCTAATGATTACTTCAGTAATCGATTATTTTGACGATTAATCAATTAACTGAGTTTAAAAATTGGCACAATTGTTACGATTTTTCATTTAACCGCATAAACTTTTTCTATGCAAAAAAAAAGAAAAACTACAATATTTGGAAATGGGGTTAGGGTTATGTGTCTTTATTTTATATAACTTGCACAGTTTTGGCATTTTTTTCAGTAAACTGTCTTTTTTGATTCTGTATGCTCCAATTAATGGCTAATCAATTACTAAATTAGCTGATGATTATTTTAATAATTGATTAATCATGATTAATCGGTCCAGCCCTAATTAAAATAAACCAATCCTTCAAATAAATGTATATTATAATGTATGTACAGTTTTTTTGTCCAGTTTTTATTTGTGGACAGTTACTCGGTGTGTTTGTGTGTGTTAGAGGATTAAACAGCAGGTTGCAGGAAAGCCAAGCAGGCAGACGATAAATTAAATGTTTTCTCTCTGGGTTGCACACATGCATGGTTGCAACATAACCGACAAACCAAAACAACAAATCAAATAAACAAAAGGCAACGAACAAGTCAGGCTGCCGAACATGCAACAAAACAAAGAGGGTTAAAGTGAAAAAATAAAGAGTCGGACTTCATGCTCCAAACACCGTAGAGACTGAGCCGCCTCCTGATTGGTCAGCAGCGGGTCACCTGATCAGTGCAGGTGAAGGGGGGGCGGAGCGGCCAGACCTAAGGTAGGAGGAGTCAGCGCGGTCAGTCGAATGCGACCGCGCGTAGACAGGTCGGTCGGCCATCGCTCGCTGATCGGCTGAGCGAGAGCGGCTGTAGTAATCCCTCCTGTCCATCCCCCTGCTGTACCTGCGCATCACCATGACAACTGTCAACTACTGTCGCCATGACAACCGCTGCACCTGGGGGACAGGTTAGTCACATGGAGGACATTGTTCTGGTCACCTGTGGATCTCAAAAGTAAAAAGGCACTGTTTGTAGGAGAGGAAATATATTTGGCACAATGTTTCCCAGGAAGTTTTCAGAACAGGTGAGAACAGAAAAATAAAAGCTTTTAACTAAAATTGAAGGACATACATTTGGGATTCAGAGAGGAAGAGCTCAGAGCTCCCAGAAGAAAAATAAGAAGTGAAAGACGATTCAGTCGGCATTTTCAATCTATTCTCTGGGTTCGTTCACTTTTCCCACAGAAAAATTCAAGAACTTCTCAAGCATTTTCAAGGTAAGTTTCCAAACTTTTCCAGCACCACACTTTGGAGATAAAAACAACACAAATTAACTAAAGAAGACAGTTCCAACTCACAAGTTTATATCATATATTAACGTTAATATTATATATTGGCGCAATATTTTAAACTAAAATAAAATAAAATTTTATGTTTTGAAATGTCTCTTTATACATGTTACTAGCCTGAAAAAATTATGAAAAATGTTCTAGCGCTTAGCAAAAATAAATAATTTTAGTGATTCTAACTGGCCTAAAACAAGAAATGTTTAGTTTGATTTAACTATAGACTGTGATAAAAATGCTTAGGTGTCTTTTTATTATCTTAAAATTTCTGGTTTCAACAATAAATTTAGGCTTTTAATCAAATCGTTAGATTGCATTTTACTGTGAAATTACGCATGTTTGAATATGAAGCACTTTCCAAACCTCTCTCACTACAGCTACAGCTAACTGGTTTTCCTCCGGTCGGTAGCTGGTCTGTTTACCTCAGCAGCTCCTCATCATAAGCTTCTGGCTCGTAGGGAAAGTCTGGGATGAAATCCTGACTGCAGAACAGAACAACGTCAAACACTCAAACCTTCCACTGTTTCTACACTACGTTACCGTTTCAGTAATTCAATTCAAAATCTGACACTCGTGCATTATTTTGATTTATTGCACACAGAGTGATATATTGTTACCATTGTGGAAATATTTGACTCATGTCTAATGAAAACCCAAAGTTCCGTTTCTACCAAAAAACAGCAACAAACAAGAACCATAAAGTTCAGATTATATAACAGATTAAAAAATTATTTAATATTTAAAAACAAAACTGTAATTTTTTATATTTTCTACACTATTTGTTCAAGGAGAGCATAAATATACCAGAAAATATGACTAAATGTAGTTAGTTATTTTAGTGGTATAAATCTTAAGTAGCATCCTGGAGAATCCCGTTTCAAATGAGAATATTTTTCAAGAACAATAATTTTTATTGTTATATTAGAAAATATTTCTATTATAACTCTGAGTTCATTTCGCTCACCGACTCCAGCTACAGTTCACATTTTGTGAATGTTCCCCAAACTCCTGAAATGACTTTGCTTTATTTCAGGTTTGGATCATCCTTGTTACTTGTGCACCTCTTACTAACAAACATTTTTCCTTCCACTAAACTTTCTTTTAATATTTTTAGATACAACGTTCCATGAACAAATAACCTTCTCAACCAGTGGCATTTAGCGGTTTAAAATCTAGAAATAAATCACTCTGTATGTAATTAATCTACTGGGTCACACTTTAGGAAGTGCTTACTGGGGCGGTAACACAGGGCTCCAATTTTTTGGGGGGGGCACTCAAAGATTTTTTCTTCTTTATTTTTTAATGAATACATATTTTGCAAATATTGCACTTTATATAAAACTTATATGCCCAAATTAGTTGCGGTGCATCAATATTTTGGGATTTTTATGATCATAAACAATATTCCTGTATATGAAAATTATGAAGTTATACTCCGTATTTTTCTTTAGGAAACATTTTCTTTAATGGACAGGGCACCAAGCTGGCTCCAGCCCCGGGCCCCACATCCTTGTAAATACGGCCCTGTGAATCTATGTAACATATGAGTTTCTTCTTTTGAATTAAATTACTGAATCTACAGAGACGCACCTATGAATCACCTATAGACGCACCTATAGCACCTGTAAATTAACAACTAGCAGAGCTTACCTGTATTCCTCACAACTCCCATTCATTACATGGTTTGTCCAGGTTTGTTGTGGACCGTTAAAGTATCTTACATGCAGAGAAGCATATCAACAGTTACATGTTTACTCTTTAAAATGTAACTACTGGTACTACACTAGCTACTGCGGCGGTACCTGTCGTAGGAATCGAGAGAGTTGGCAACAGACATTCTCCTCAGGTGTCGCCTGAATACAGAGGAGGAGGAATTGAATCCAGATGTTCAGCACAAACTAAACACCAAAATGTCCACAACTTCTACTACCAAAGTACCAAAAACAGCAAAGACAGAAGGGAAGCGGTGCTACAACATTAAGGGAGGCTAATGCTAAGCCAAAAGTCTGGAGTGTGAAACTATAGAACTAAAACCAGAACCGAGTTCAGGAACCAACATTGAGACAAAGTTATTCAAAACTAAAAGCTGAACATAGATCAGCTGTAACATCAGGACTAAAGCGCATTAAATCCAGTTCAGACCAGTTTCTGCTTTCATGGTCCAACACATCAGCACATCATACTGGATCAGACAGCACCTGTTAGCCGCTAATGCTAGTGACGCTCCTGCAGGCGCCATTGTTGTGCAGCGAGTCACAGTAATGATGCAAAATCTGAGAAAAATGTTCGTAGCACCTTTATTTCTTAACAGATTTCTATAAAATATGTCTTCAGTAAAATCAGTTAAAGCAGGGGTCCCCAAACTTTTTCCTGCGAGGGCCACATAGCTGTTCCTTTCTGTGGTCGGGGGCCGGTCTTAGTTTTTGCAGTAAAAAAAAACAAAGAAATTCTTGTCGACGGGACGACGACGACACTTTTGGATAGATTTTTACCCAGAATGCAAATGGAAAAAACCGTGAGTGAAACGGTGACTGACGAGTATATATTCCATTGAGGGAAAGTAAGTTTCACATTTGCTCAAAAGCCCCCTGGTGGTTGAAGAAAAATCCACATATAAACCGGAAAATACAATATATGAAAAAAAACACTGGTATGAGCAGGCGGGCCGGATCCGGCATTGTTCAGGGGGCCGGACCAAATGACGTGGCGGGCCGGATCCGGCCCGCGGGCCGTAGTTTGGGGGCCCCTGAGTTAAAGCTTAGAAAGTTGATGTGTGTTATCCCTTGGTATAAATCTATAAATAGTTTGGTTTCTATCAGTTCTGTCAAAATGCAAGAGATGACTGAGCAAATTTCTCTTTAATGCTGGTCAATAATTAAATCTCACATCTTTACTGGTCCCAAAGTTTGTTCAAATTTAACAAAGTATGGCTCCTAAACTTTATCAAATTTCATCCTATTTGATGATTGTTATGAATATTGCAACAATCTACAAAGGAAGCTATTACTCAGGTTTTTGTCATATGTTGAACTTTTATAAATCACAGCAGCTGCAGTGCGTCACAGCAAAGGGAAAATAACGCTGAGAAACAGTTGAAGAGCAACTCAAAACCATTTGTATTCTGCTTTGTTTTCTTCTTGCTCTCCGAGTCGACTCTAAACCCAAAGACCCGTTGCCACGGTAACCGACTGACAACAACTCCGCTAGCAAACAGAGCTGCGATCACGTTCAAATGTATCAACACCGAAAAACCCAAAAACCCCAAAGCAGAACATTCAGCCCGCTACAGTTTTATGTTTCCAGGCTTGATTTTTAGTTTGCGATTATTGATAAGTGATCATCTGAACACAACGGTGATTGATTAGCTAATTTAAAGAGCTGCTCTGCTGATGATTTGTCAGAGTTGGTGTGTGTCGCCTTATTTTACTGCTAACTGAACCGAAACACATCGCACATGGACATGCTAAGGTTGTCAAAGTCTAGCTAGCATAACTGACAACTTCTCACTTTCTCTACATTATTTTTAATTAAAACATTTTCCTGACCACTGAAATTGGACCTTTGTTATCCAGTTATTGTTGTGTTGTCAAATAACAAAAAAAATGGCGTTGTTTTTTGATGTTATTTTTGTTACTGTGTCATTTTTCCGACCACAGATATTCCTGACTCAAAGCACAGCCATGGCGCGCGCTAACTGACGTGATGTCCAATCCAGTATTACATTAATGATCCAACTGCAGCTATTTTTAACTTCAATACTGATTTATTAATTAAAATGTTTAATTAAGCCGGAACCGGACTCCATGCTTCTCTAGCTGCAGTCCAGGTGTGCTGGACTGCACACCTGGTGCCGTTTCCCTCAGTTACCTGTCCAGGCTGCTGTACTGACAGGCGTCAGAGTACGCTCGACTCAGTTTGGAGCCGCGCAGCAGCCGCACCGCGTCCTCCCGGTACAACGGATACAGAGGGTTGCCGCTGGCAACCAGAGGTCAGAGGTCAGAGAGGTAAAGAGCCAGAGAAGAAGAGGAAAAGTTTGGGTAAAAATAAAAGGCGAACTTCAAAGAACAAAAAATATTGTGCCTCGAAAAGTGGCAAGTAATTTTAACTCATAAAAACAAATCTCACCTCTTTCCTCTTTAATCTCCTAATCCAAGACTAGAATCGTCTAATAATATGGTTTAAAAATAAAATCTGATCCAGTTTTACCAAGATAATATATTACCTCTGTGGAGGCGGTTGGCTTGGCGACCGTGACCTGCGGACCATCTCAGATCGGGAGCAGTGATTGGACGACATCACCTGTTCTGGCACTGAGAGCGTGGAGCTGTGGAAGTCCCGCCCATTCTGTCTGTAATCTGCAATGAAACAAATAAACGTGGTTTATCCGTCTACATTTATGTGATCTAAAGATAAACGTTCAGTCAAACTGCAACTTGTGAGAAAAACTAAGTTTCTAACTTCAGAGACGGAAAATTAGAAATATGTACATACATTAATAGATAACACTTCTGTTTTATTCTGTAGACATGATTATTGTGTATTTTTTTATTTATATTGAGAATATTGTCTATTATTTCTGCATTTCATGGTGCTGCTACTCAATAATTACCCAATTCTGGGATCAATAAAATACGTCTCATGTCACCTTAAAGTAGCAATAATAAGAGAATTTGAAAATTTAGTTTTTAGAAAAAAGAAAATTCGAGCACTATAAAAAAAATCAGATTTTCACCAATCCCACTGGAAAAAAAATCCAATTTTTATCAATAAAAATCCTATTTTTTACCAATGGAGACATTGTGTTCCAGTTAATGTTTTTTAGTAGAAATTTATAATGTTTCCTACAGCCTTTCTTTTCAAAAGATGAGTAAATTACATTGTGGGATGTTGCGTTTACCTGAAATGACGCCAATGCCGTCCTCGCAGTCGTAATCTGAAAACTCGCTGTCGCTGATCCTCTGAGATCCTACAAACACACAGAGGGAGGAAGAAACGAGAAGGAGGACGTTTAGAAGACCACATATCATCTTCAGCTGGAAGCACAACAAACAGAAAACCGTCAAACTCAGGAGCAGAATAAAAACAGAAAATAAATATGTAACCCTGAGTGAGGCAAAAAGCTTTGGTTGTGCAAAGTGTTGGCTCTCTTTTTAGTAACAAAATATGTTAAGAACCATTATCTCTTTCCTCTCACTTGAGAATGAGTCACACCTTTGTATTGATAGTCACCTAAAATCACAATAAGATACTTAGAAATTTGTGGGGTAGCGTGACAAAATGTGAAAATGTTAATGGGGAGTGAATAGAGGGAACCGTACTTAACCTGTTAATGTCAATTATGAGTCAAACGCACCATAACAATCCTTCATCCACAAAAAGAAAGCAACCAAACTTCTATCAGTGTCTTCAGTCAGAAGCTTCCATAACACTGACTGCTACAGCATCTGCATTGATGCTTTAAGGAAAATTACAGTTACGTCTAATATCCAAATAAGCTGCTGCTGTTTCCACTCGCACATGAAAACGGCTGCAAACAGATGCGCAATTATTCAACCGTACATGTTTGAAAAGCCAAAGTGGAGCCTCCTGCACAACCAACAAGAATGGAGCAAGTGGTTTCTGGATGGTAAGTCAACAACAAAACACTTGTTTTTTCCAGCAGCCATTGTACAGCAGTAAAAATAGCGGACAAAATGTGCTGAAGCTCCTTTGGGTTGCTAGGTAACAGGACGGGGCTTGTCAGGTTGTTACCTGGCAACAAAACGTTAACATCGGAAAGTTTTTGAAACAGCTTATTTTTTAAACACCAAAAAACATCAACATATTGGTAAACAATTCATTTTTTAATGCTTGGGCTGTTTTAGAATCAGTAGAAACTAAAATGGAAATATAAAAATGTGCAAAATGTGAATTTTGCATAAAAGGTCCCCTTTAACAATTATATGGACAGGATTACAAACTGTCCATCCTGATTGTTTCTGATTTTATGGCTGCAGAAACAAAAAACTGCAACATAAAATTCAGAGGACTCCACACAGACACACAGGCACACACACAGGTGTTATTACCTGAGTTAAAGTAAGGACCTTTATCTGGTAACGGATCATAAGAAGTGAAACAACAAACAAACAAAAAATAGATGTTAAAAAAACGACATGATGGAATAAAGACACAAAATAAACATCTATATTTCTAAAAATTGATCATTAAGCAGCAATAAAAATAATAAAAAGAAAGTGACTGAGTGGGAGTCGGTGTGTTTCTGGTGTGACTCTCACTCTGAAGCCTCCTGCTGCTCTGCGACGGCTCCGTCTGCAGTCCCCTCCTCTGCAGGTAGGGGGAGGCGTTGGGCAGCGGCACCGAGGAAACGTCATGAAGCTGCAGCTTGTACCAGTGAGGCTGATCGTCCAGCAGCGCCGACTCCAGCTCTATCAGCACCTGACGAAACACGGGGAACGTCAGGACGCCGATCCTAAAGCCAGAGATCCTCAAACCTGTTCAGTCTGAGGATCACTTCACCTATTTAACATCCACCATCCAGCTTCAAATTACCCCTCGTTAACGCAACATGTCAATATAAACAACCTAAAATTAAAATATTAGGCTCTTAACGCACTTATTGTTGTTTTCAAGCCATCAACAGGTCTAGTCGGGGTGTTTTGAGTTATTTACAGATTCTTAGTGTGGATTTCCAATGATGTCAAACATGGAAATCAAAAACAAGCTGTTCTTTACTACCAAGTATCGTGTGCATTAATAACATTTACAGCTTGTAATTCAGAAGCACAATTAAAAGAAAAACAGACATGAGTTGTTTTGCCAGAAACAAAAATTAAATATAAAATCATCCATCCATTTCTATCAACTGCATTTATCTATTGTATTTAATTAATTTAATTTAATAGTCGTTAGTGTGAGCAGACCATAATATGCTAGCAAAGTCGTAAAAAAACAGTTCTCACCAAAAGACTCGTTCACGGGAGAGCCGTTCAAAAGAATCGAATGAATCGCTAACGAATGACACGTCAAAACTCTTAGCAGGTTTAACTTAGTTTCCTCCGATCTTATAAGTAGTCCTGGCGTTGTTTTATTGTGAGTGACCCGGTTTTATCCCATTCATCCATTATTTTTAAACACACTCCTTTGCTAAGCTAGCTGTAGCGTCGCACTGTGAGCTAACCTAACGTCACAGGAAATAAACGGTCGTTTACATGCAGTACCTCGATGACCACCAGGGGGCTCCCGCGGACCAGCCTCATAATAAAGACTGCTTTAAGCTGTTCGACTGCTCCAGGTGTGCTCACCTCTCCCAGGAACTGGCTCTCCTCCTCTCGGACTCTGGCCTGGTCCCAGACGGTGAGCTCCAGCATCCGTTCCCTGAACTCGCGCCGGTGAACCGGGGAATACATGAAGGTCTGGTTCCAGCGAGGCTCCAGGGACTTTTTCACCGTCTTCGTCCTGCGTTTGCTCTTATCGCTGGGAGGAAAACAGATGAGGAACAAGGATTTACATCAAGTGTAGAGCGGGTTATAATAGCTTTGGGGGGTTTTCCATTGTAGTTCAGTTTTATTCTGTTGTGACTTTTTTTCTAATTCAGTTAGTTTTTAGAGTGTGTTTGCTAGTTTTTATAAATTATTAGAGTTTGGTACATTTACTTGAGTAACTTATTGGAAAAAATCTACTTTTCGGAGTATTTTCTACTTCTACTCTTACTTGAATAAAATTTCAAGATTTTCTACCCAATGAATAAAAACAAACTTGTTTTAACCAAAAACAGACACACATCTGCAGTTTTTGTTAAAGTTTCATACATTTTATATTGAAAGAAACTGATTTGGAAAAAAAAACATTTTTTCCTGGTTTTGTTAGTTTATAATTGTGATATTTGTATTAATAAATTTTGTTTTTAAAATGACAACATTTCCACTTAACTTTATATTTAATTTTTTTTAAATATTTAATATATAAAATATATTTTGTATTTAAAAATATGTTTAATATTTTTAAATATTAACTATAATTTAATATTTTAAAATACCTTTTGCCTTTAAATATTAAATGATTAATGATTTGATCAGTTATTCAGTACTTGCGTGGACTTTTATCAAATAGTGAAACGTTTACAGGAATAATAGCAGTAGTGCAGTTTTGTTTTTCTTTGCTCTTCTACCTTCTGTCTGGCAGGAAGTAGATCTTGACGTATGGGTTTCGAGGTCGTCCATCGTCCCGAACAGGAAGTTCTTTGGCTCCAAGGACCGTGACGATCAGCTGATGACCAACCTTATCGTACCACAGTTTGATCTGTTTTAAAACATTAAATAACATTAAAACCATGAAACAGAGAGCGGATCTGAGCCATTCATACTGGGGTAAACTTTATAAAGGGCAGCAGCCCAGGGCTCCAGTTTTTTAAGGGGCGTCCCTCATTGTTGTTACTTGAGATTCTAATCAGCTGCTCTCAGTTGAAAAAACTAAAAACTAGCAATGAACGATATTTTATTGTAAAACTGGGCTGATTTTAGTAGCTAATATTTATTTCCATCCTGTTGTTGCTTGTTGTTTCACTTTCTCTGGACACGTGACAGAGAAAGTGATCCCAACAGAACCATCTTTAAAATAAAAGTATCTGTGTGCCAAAAAGGAGAAATTTTCTCTAAAAAAAATCAGCCACAATCGGTTAGTAACTAGCTACATTTACTTAAGGAATTTTTAGCAAAAATTTACTTTTAGGACTATTTTTATTACGTTGTGCTTTTTACCTTTACTTGAATAACTTTATTATGATGCAACACTATTTCAGTAAAATTTCTGGATTTTCTACCCACTGAATTAAAAACAAACTTAAGTTTTAACCAAAAATTCACCAGA